CTGGGAGCGAGCCCTGCATCGGGCTCTCTGCTCAGCGGGGAGCCTGCTTCCCCCTCTCTCTCTGCCTGCCTCTCTGCCTACTTGTGATCTCTCTCTGTCAAATAAATAAATAAAATCTTTAAAAAAAAAAAAAAAGACCCCTGATCCCATGAGTTAGAATTGATTATTCATTTGTGCTGCCATTATCTCTCATATTTCCTTTTTTTGTTTTGTTTTGGGAGGGAGAGTAAGAGCTTGCGTGTATGAGTAGGGGAGAAGCATGTGACACTCCTTCAAAAGATTCTGATGACTTCTGCTTCAGGGAGCATGGAATAAGATGTACTTTTCATTGTTCCTCACTAAAAACAACTGGAAATCTTAGATGTTATATATAAAACAGACATAAGGGGGCACCTGGGTGGTTCAGTTGGTTAAGTGACTGCCTTTGGCTCAGGTCATCATCCTGGAGTCCCCAGATTGGGATGGAGTCCCACATCGGGCTCCCTGCTCAGCAGAGAGTCTGCTTCTTCCTCTGACCATCTCCCCTCTCATGCTCTCTCTCTCTCAAGTAAATAAGTAAAATCTTTTTAAATAAATAAATAAGTAGAAATTAAAAAAATAAAACAGACATAAGGAAATAGAGAGGTAGAAGGAAAGGGTAGACTGTCTAGGGATCTCAGCATGCAAGAAACAACACAATAGTGAGTTCCCAGGATTTTCTTTTTGCCTCCTCTCTGACTGGATGTTGGAGACTCTGGCAACTGTGAGAACACCAGTACTCGCAGACAAAATAGTCCCAAGCAAAACTCTAGCCAAGAGGTCAAGAAAACAGCAGCCTAGGAAGCCAAAAACTTTCAGAAAAAAAACCTTGACTCCAGCTGAATACCATAGAAAAAAATTACAGTCTCATCCCTACTGTTGGGCTGGTGAAGGCCAAGGGCAGATCTTGGACTTCTACCTTAGGAGTCTGGGGAAGCCTCCTTATAGCCTGCTATTAGGGTCATGTCAGAGAAGGCCAAGGAGGAGCCAGAAATTTATTTCATGCTGGACAGTAATGAGTAGTCTCCCTACTTCCCAGTATCAGGGAAGAACATGTGGGGAGCCTGGACTTTCATCCCTACCAGGCAGTACTGAGACAGCCCTACTTCCCCCTCACGGGGATGGTATCAGAGAGGGCTAGTGAAAGGTCAGCAATCACAAGGCCACCTTCCCACGATGTCCACAGAGGCCACATGGGGAGCTCTAAAGAAAGAGGTACCTCTCCCCTTCCCAGCCAGGATATCAGTGGAGCCCTCCTTGAGGCCCTGAATTCCATTTCTGTCTTGCAAAGGGGCCCCTCCTCAACCAGGCATCACAGAAGACCAAGAAAAGGACCTGGACTTCCTCCTTCACATGACAGTAACAATTGGATATTCCCCATACTTCCTGGAGGAATAGCAGAGGAAGTATGATAAAAACACAAGGTCTAAACAAGATCTTAAGGCTTCTAATGTAACAATCCAAGATTTCAATCCAAAATCACTCTTCATACCAAGAACAGGGAAGATCTCAAATTAAATAAGACCAACAAACACCAATACCCAGATGACATAGATGCTAGAATTAACTTACAAGAATTTTTAAGCAGTCATCATAAAAATTCTTCAATAAACAATTATAAATATGCCAAAGCAAATGAAAAAATAATCTCAGCAAAAAAATAGATAATGTAAAGAAAAAGCAAATGGAAATTTTAGAGTTAAAAAATACAACTGAAATAAAAAACTCAGTAGGTGGACATAGCTCAATGCCATAATGAAGACTAACAGAGGAAAGAATTCGTGAACTTGAAGATAGTATAGTAGAAAATACCTAATATGAAAAACAGAGAAAAGAGACTAAGGGGGGAAAAATTAGTCTCAGAGACATGATGGACTAAAACAAAAGATATAATATCATGTCATTGGAATCCCAGGGAATAAGAGAGCATGTTGAAAAGTATTCCAGGAATAAGAGCTGAAAATTTTCCAAAACTTGGGAAAAAACATAAACCCAAAGATTCAAGTAGTGAGAAATCTCCAAGCAGAATAAACCAAAGACTCTATGACTCTATGCCAAGACACATTAATAGTCAAAAGACAAAATACATATCTGATAAGAGATTTGTATTCAGAATATAAAAGAACCCTTGTACCTTGAAAGTAATAAGATAAAAAAGCCAATCAAAAAAACTGAAAGATTTGAATTAGATGCTTCACAAAAGAAGATATAAGAATAACTAATAAGCATATGAAAAGATGCTCAATATCATTTGTTATTATGAAATGAAAACCACAATGAGATATCATCTCATAACCACTAGAGTGACTGTAATAAAAGAGATGGGCAAAAAAAATGTTAGGATGTGGAGAAATGAGAGTTCTCCTACGGTGCTGGTATCAATGTAAAATGACACAACCACTTTGGAAAACACTTTTGCAGCTCACTTTAACATAATTTAGTGTATGACCCAGCAATTATACTCTTGATATCTAACCATGAGAAATGAAAACATATAGCTACATAAGACTTACACACAGACGTTTTTAGCATCATGACCCACAACATTGGACGCTACCTAATATTGGATTCAACAAAAATTGGAAACAGTCTACATTTCCACCAAGTGGGTGAAGATGCTAGAGATATATAATGGAATACTATTAAGCAATAAAGAGGGGGAAATTACTGATACGTGTACTATGCCATGAATCAACCTCAAAAGCATTGTGCTAAGTCAAGGAATTCAGGTCAAGAAACTACTTATTGAATAATTCTATTTATTTGAATCCAGAAAAGGCAAACCTATAGAGACAGAAAGTATATTAGTGGTTGACTTGCTGGAGGAGTGGTAGGGTGGTCAGGGAGCTGATGGTGAGGAAGAGGATTCTTTTTGGGGTGAGAAAAAGTGCTAAAATTGTTTTATTTTGACAGTTGCACAGCTTGGTAAATTAACTAAAATAACATTGAATTGTATACTTGAGATGGGTGAATTATATGTAAAGTATGCCTCAATATAGTTAATGATCATATGTGTATGTATAAAATCTCCGTATGCATGTAAAAAGCTAGGTTGTGTTTTGGGCCAGAAGAGTGAAGATAGAGGAGAATTTTGTATGATACCTCAAAGCTTGTTTTGTATTCTCCATTTCATTGCTACTTTTTATTAATCATCTGGAGAAACCATCTAAAATACTAAGTGTCTGATGCTTTTTCTTGTTCTGGTGCCCATGCTTATTTTGAGGAGATTAAACGTTAATTTTCTTTTCCGATATATGGCACCATATTTAGTTGATGCAAACAGAAGGACTCTAAGTCATAAATGCTGATAAGTAAATTCTCAGATATTTGGGTTAAGTGAGGGTAAAACATAAAGAAGTGGTTGCCAGATCAACTCAATGTGTACCTCACATATGGATTCTTTTCTAATTATAAAAAAAATTAATTCTTCCTAAATCCCAAAATAAAATGGAGATATAGATTTATTATGGGTATTATTTTGTAACTGATAATATCAAATTTTAATTGAAAAAATTAAGTTGCCTAAAACTTAAATAATACAAATACTGTGATTGGTGTGGACTTAATACCACACATAAATGTTAGGTTTCATCAGAAAAAGCTTTAATCAAGTGAGAAACTTGTATCTGAAAAAGAGAAGGAAATGTGAAGTTTCATTCTAGAAAAGGTAAAGAGGACTTAAAGCTAAAAATAAGTTAAAAACATCAGTTCATGGGGCACCTGGGTGGCTCAGTGGGTTAAGCCTCTGCCTTCGGCTCAGGTCATGATCTTAGGGTCCTGGGATCGAGCCCCACATCGGGCTCTCTGCTCATCAGGGAGTCTGCTTCCCTTCCTCCCTCTCTGCCTGCCTCTCTGCCTACTTGTGATCTCTGTCTCTATCAAATAAATAAATAAATAAATAAAAAACATCAGTTCATGACTTTTAAGGAAAGAGCAGTTGGCCATTTACATGGACTGGCAGTCCCTGTGTCACTCTTCACACCACAGCTGGTAACAACTACGAGGAAGGATGACATGGGAACAGAACAGACAAAAAATGGTAACTATCAAGATCAGATACTGGAGACCCAGTAAGTGCTACCTTAGATAGAGAATAAAATGTGTATTAGAAAATTCTTTTCATCTGGCCTTGGAAGTTTTATAAAATTCTAAAACCTCTACTTGGTTGTTCGGTTAATTTTTATTCTTCTTTTTAAAAAAATCTAATGCAGGAATATTTTTGGTTCAAAGTCAGACAGATATTCTAACAAATACTTAAAATAATCCTCTGTTGCCTAGCTACTCCATTCTTGTAAAATGAGAGATTTTATTATGGTGTCAGTGTTTTGTGTTTGGGACACACACACAGACACACACACACACGGCTGAGGGAACTCAGCAAGAGGGATCAGTGATGTATTAATCCAAAATAGTTAATAGCTGTATAGTCAAAGGAGCAAGGGCACAGAGTAGAGTAGGCAGAGAAAGAAGCCAGGATTAGTGCCTCAATACTAAATGTCAGCTCCAAAGGCAGAGGCAAGGGCAGAAACAAACGAAACAGGCAAATTAAAGAATCAGGCACAAACCAAGGAGATCCATGTAGGATGGACAACAGATGTGTTGTAGCAGAAACTGCCGTTTGTGACATGAGGGCAGTCTACTGGGGTAGAGCACCACGCAGTTCCAAACAATTAGAATTCTGTCCATAGAGTAGACATAGCTTTGTGCATGGGCAGCTTCCTACCTGTCCTTTAGACTCTAAGACTGTTCATGGCTAGTATTTATATTTCTTTTCCCTAGGATGATGACTACTCTGTCTAGACTGTATTATAGATTGCTATTTGCATTGTTTATCCACAGCTTGTTTATCTGGAGGGCAGCTAATATTTTTACATAAAGACCCAAGGGATTGTTAAACACGTGGTTCTTACACCATGTTACCTATTTCTTTTGCAGCCTGGAGACAGTTGCAGAGGGTGCCATCTTGCTACATGGTGTAAGAAATGGCTGTAGGAAACAACACTCAACGAAGTTATTCCATCATCCCGTGTTTTATATTTGTCGAGGTATGTGTATTTCTTGCCTTTATGGACAAATTGGAATAATAGTAGTTTTGAGGCTGAGAACTTGGGTTATGTTGTAAAGTTATTTGACAAATTTTGATAGCACAAATATTGGTAAAGAATAAATTATGCAAAGTGTTCCTTGAATCGGAAGCCATAGAACAAGAAGGTTTATCTGTGGGGTGCAAAATAATTTTGTTTTATTATATCCTTTTTATTTTCAGTGGTGACTTGAATGTATTAATTATGAATGCAGCATTTTAATTAGATCAGTTTTTAAAATAAATATCATATTTCAGGAATCAACAAGCCAGTTGGTTTACAGATGATGTTAGTTGGACTTTTGCCTTACAGCCCAAATAAAGAAAAGGAAATTTTAGAATTGACTATTTCCACTGGGCATTTTTCTTTAGTAGAGTATTGAGAGCTTACGTAATGTGCAGTTTCTTTTGGTCATGAATGATTTTGTTGAGTTGCTCCAAGTTTGTACCAACAAACAGTTCTCTAGCATCTTCTTGGTTAAACTCATTACACTCCTTTCCCACTATACTTCCCTCTCTATAATGTTTGCTATAGAGGAGACAAAACATGGAAATTTTAGGAAGTCTGGAATGATCTGATGCAAAAGCAGAAAAAGCTAGCTACTCCAGGTTGTCTCAAAATAAGATATCCAAGACCAGCTGTAGCATATTCTTATGGGATCTTTTTGGCTGAGTGTGGGAGGAACGTGCATGTTGATGCACTTAATTACCTATGTGAAAACAATCAACACTTGAGGTAAACCGCTAATTATATTAGCAAAATGGTACCTTTAGTACCTATGTGTTTAAACACTTCCTATGAATCAGTGCAACAATATTTTTATTTTCTACCTCTTGAAGTAAACTTAGCTATTTATACAGTCTATTGGGTAACTGAGCATTCTGATTTTAGGCCAAATATATGTTTTGATGATCTTTGAGTTTCACTTTACAGAAATCCCTTGGTAGTTTAGATGAACAAATAGTACTTGATTTATTTTCTGGTGATATTTGTGGACCTCTTCGTATTGGAAAATTAGGTGGAAATAGGACATTAACTTGGGACAGAGATGTTAATGTAAGTCAGGATACTTAAAGACTCAAACTATGTTAAATCTGAAAGGGTAAACAAAGAACTCCTTTCTCAACAGAAACGCATATTCTTCATACTCTAACTTGACCCTTTAACTTGTTACACCTAAAACTCTAACTCCTTTATTCTTGCTTCTAAGGCCAAGAATAACTCCATTCAGGCAATAACTATACCTTATGTATTTTGTGGGCTCATATTGTTCATATTGGAAGTTTAATGAGGGGAAGGGTGTCTCATGCAGCTTATGGGGAAAAGGGAAGAACGCTGTGGCACCATATCTGTCTTGCAATGTTAAAATCTTTTTTCTTTTGTTGTAAGAAAAAGAAATTTATAAAGTAAACTGGGGGAAATTAGAGAATAGGTCATCTCTCATTATCTTTATCCTCCTGGTAGAAATTTTATTTTAAATTTTCCTAAAAACCAAACAAGAACCAAACCTCAAAGTGAGAGGTTTAAGTTATTGCTGGAAGGTGTATCTCTGAAAATTTTCAGTCCCCTAACGGATGAACGATGAGCTGACTGGTAGAGCAAGCAGAAAAAGACATAAATCTGTCTTTCTCTGCCTTAACCTGGCACAAACATAAATATAAATCAAAAAATCTGGGAAAGGAAAGATAGTTTATTCTTTTTCTTGTTGCATTGTCGTTCTTATTCTGCATGGAAGCTTAAGGTACATCAGGTGTATAATTTATGATTCAACACTTAACAACACCTGGTACTCATCACAGGTGCACTCCTTAATATTGCACTGTTAACTAACTGGAATTGAAATAAAAACATTAAAAAAAGAGTGACTTTTCTCAGAAACAGGCAGGAGAAGGAAAAAGAGGAAGTAAAACAAAGTAGATCTTAAGAGGGGAGGAGGTACTGGGGCGCCTGGGTGGCTCAGTGGGTTAAAGCCTCTGCCTTCAGCTCAGGTCATGATCCCAGGGTTCTGGGATTGAGCCCCACATTGGGCTCTCTGCTCAGCGGGGAGCCTGCTTCTTCCTCTCTCTCTCTCTCTCTGCCTGCCTCTTCGCCTACTTGTGATCTCTGTCTGTCAAGTAAATGAATAAAATCTTTAAAAAAAAAAAAAAAGAGGGGAGGAGGTACATTTCAAGGTGGCTTTCATGATTTTGCTGTGTTTCTTCTGCTAAACACTGTTGTATGGACCTCAATATTCGTTGCAACATTATTTACAATAGTCACAGTATGGTAAAAACCCAAGTGTCCACCCATGGATGAAGGGATAGGGAAATTGTGAAGTGGACACACAATGCAATATTATTCAGCCATTGGAATGAAATCTTGCAATATATGACAATATGGGTGGAACTTAAGGGCATTATGCTGAGGGAAATAAGTCTGAGAAGACAAATACTGTATGATCTCTCTCATGTGTGGAATTAAAGGAAAAAAAATCAACCAAGTTCATAGATAGAACAGATTAGTAGTTGGTGGGGTGGGAAAAATAGGTGAAGGGGGTCAAAAGGTGAAAAAAGAAAAAAAAATGGGTGGGAAGGGTCAGAGGGAAAAGGAAAGAAAGAATCCTAAATAGATTCCACACCCAGTGGGGAGCCTGAGGCCAAGCTTGAACTTAGAAACCTGAGATGGTGAGCTAAGCTGAAATCAAGAGTTGGACGTTTAACTGACTGAACCACCCAGGCACCTCCAACTTTTTTTAATTTTTATTTTTATTATTTATTTGACAGACAGAGATCACAAGTAGGCATAGAGACAGGCAGGGGGGGCGGGAATCAGGCTCCCCACTGAGCAGAGAGCCTGACGTGGGGCTTGATCCCAGGACCCTGGAATTATGACCTGAGCCCAAGGCAGAGGTTTAACACACTGAGCCACCCAGGTGCCCCCCCACTTTTTTTTTTAATTAAGAAAACATTTTTTAAATATTTCTTCTGAGATTGGGCAACAAAACTTTGAGTAAGATCCAGTTGGGGGTGTGGGGAAGAAACAAAAAAAACCCCTACTGTTTACCGATATTATGTCAAGTATTGTTACAGGAATATTGAAAAACGTGGTCAAGAATAACTTGGTTAAAATATCAATTTGATCAATGAATGTCTTTTCACTATTGCTTCTTAATTATAAAATAATTCAAACAGAGAAAATATAACAGACACTACTGCACCCACCATCAAAACCAAATCTTAAAATTTTGCCATAGATGCTTCAAGCATTTTTTTCAGGGAAAATAAAATATTACAAATATGACAGAAGTCCTCCTGCCCTGGACCTAGAAGGAAAGGTATCTGTGAAGTTGGAGACTTTATTGTCCTGCACGATTCTCATCCATATTTTCATATTTTTCCTATATGTCCACATATTCATAATTAATATCTTAGGGAGATTTTACATAAATGACATAAATGACATTTATGTAAATGACACCGTATTGAACTTTCCTTTCACAACTTGCCTTTTCATTCAGCATTAGGTTTCTGAAATTTGCCCAGATCAGCAATCCATTCCTTTTAAATTCGCATTTTATCTCATTGTGTGAATACACCTAGTGAGGGACAGTTTGCTTGGTTCTTTTTTGTTTTCTTAATACCTATTTTACTCTTGCACCTTTCTTTTGTGGAAAAGGTCCTTTTTTTCAGTCTCCAGATCCTTGCAAGAGCTTCCCTTGGACTGACACTTAACAATGGAATTGCTAGGGTATGATTACATTTTCCAGTTGTTCGCTTCAGTTTAAGAACAATATTATTATTTTTATATCTGTTTCCTTGAGGAAACTTTGTTAAACTCTTTGTTTTAGGATGTGTATATTCATTTTTGTTCAGATAGTTATATCACCTGCAATTAGTAGCAGATTTGTTTCTTCTTTTCTGATTATGACTTTTTCTTATCTTTTTGCTTTGGGTAAGACCTCCAATGTAATGCTGGATGGAGGCAGAGGTAAAAGACATCCACGCCTCATTACTGACTTAAAAGAGACTACATCAGGTGTTCCAGCATTAAGCTATAAATATGGACTTTCATTCCTTTTTCTTTTTTTTTTCCTGTTCCCCGCCTTCTAGAGTAGATTACTTCATTTGTTTTAATCCCCCCTTTATGTTGTAAATTACAGATTCTATTTCTTTTTTGTTTGTTTCAAGTTTTTATTTTAATTCTTATTAGTTAACATACAGTGTAATATTAATTTCAGGAGGAGAATGCCGTGATTCCTGACTTACAAAGCCCAGTGCTCAACGCAAATGCCCTTCTGAATTCCTGTCATCCGTTTACCCATCCCTAGCCCACCTTTCCTCCAGCAACCCTCAGTTTGTTCTCTATAGTTAAGAGTCTCTCTTTCGGTTTGCCTGTTATTGTTGGTTTTTTTCCCTATGTTCGTCTGTTTTGTTTCTTAAATTGCACATGTAAGTAAAATCATATGGTATTCATCTTTCTCCCACTCACTTCTATTCTTTTAAAACTTCCTCTTCTTTTAAATATATAAACATAACAAACAATAAGATTAACCAATAGCTCTTGGCTTTTCTTTTTTCTTTTTTTAAGATTTTTTTTTTTTTTTTGACAGAGGGAGAGAGAGATCACAAGCAGGCAAAGCAGCAGGCAGAGAGAAAGAGGGGGAAGCAGGTTCCTTGCTGAGCAGAGAGCCGGATGCGGGGATTGATCCCAGGACCCTGAGATCATGACCTGAGCCGAAGGCAGAGGTTTAACCCACTGAGCCACCCAGGTGCCCCACTCTTGGCTTTTCTTAAACAGTGATGATATTAAGCCAATTTGAGATCTTGGGTGTCATTCTTGATTTTTATATCTTCCTTATATTTTTTCGCTAATGTTTCAGTCATGGTTCCTTTGAATTTACCCACATACTCATTTTTTTTGCTCACCATTCCTCCCTTTATTCCTCTCCTTCCCTTTGGGTTTAATTTCCTCCTGGAACTTTC